GTGCAATATTACGTATACGTAATTTTTTGTATTGCAATTGCAAGTTTGAAAAATCCATAACTAAGCCAAAAAGGCATTAATTTCAAATCGGAAAGGTGTTTTGTGTTAGTTTTTGATAGGTTAATAAATCTGCATACTTAATTTAAAAACTAAAAATTTTAAATTTTTTGTCCAATTTTTGACAATTTTAACGATGTAAACCCTTATAAAAATTTCAAAAAAATTAAAAAAATTTTTTCCCGCCAAAAAATAGCTAGAAAAACTCGGCTATTAATGCTGATCAAGAATATATATAGTTTATAGGGTCGGAAATGACTCCTTCATTGGATTATGAGCTTTTGACTGATATTATAATACCCTGCAAAGGTATAATAAGATAGGCATCTATTTAGGTATAGGCATTATTTTAATTTCTATATTTAAGAACATTATTAAAGAGCCTAATCCCAACATATTGATATAAGGGATAAAAATACAAGAGATGAAGTGAATTAAATCTGATCAGAGATACAATCTGATAATAAGATTTATAACATCCATACATTTAAATTGCAAAAGGCTAGCAATACTTTTCTATAGGCTTTTAAAAACATTTCCAAAGAGCCTAGGAACAGCCAGAAGACTTCTAATAAAATCCTTACATATCATACATATCCTTATATTATAAGATTTTTTCTGGACAGGTCTATTTACTCCTAGAGCTCCAGAAAAAAGCTTATGACAGCACAAAGATTAAGTTAATAGAAATAAAAGTGTTATCCGAGAGGGGAAATAGTTCAACAATTTAAGCAAATATTTCTATTAGATTTTAATAACTTCAAATTAAGAATACCTTAATCCCTAGATTCCTTTTTCTTTTCCTTTAAATTGTTAGTAAATTTAGTAAATAGAAGACTTTTAGGAGACATTCAACTCAAGTCCTAACACAGTCACCTTTAAAGTGTCATATACCCATAATACTCACCTGATCGCCTGACCCCAATGACCTCCGACTGACATCGGCCTCAGGGAGCCAGCGGCGTGGCAAGTGATGCATGTGGCAAGTGGTGCAGCAGCCTCAAACGGTTTCTCCCTGTAGAACATCATACCTATGGCCACTTTTGCAGCAAATGTCCGTTTATATATATTTGTGTTTTCTTTTTTTTTGTATTTGCATTGGGCTCTGGGCGCTCAGACATCTCCACCCGACACGGTTGCGTTGCAAATCATTTTAATGCGGTTACACACACAGCCCCCTTGCGTCAGGAAGCCACCGGATGCTCCGAGCTCCGTGCTCCGAGCTACGCCGCATCATGTAAATAAAAATTATGGAAAGTTGTCGCGGCAGCGCGTGGCAAAAATTCCACATAAGTATGCATTTAAAAATAATTTATGGCAAACGAGAAGGAATGAATCAGCGAAGGATTCTGTTTAAATGGACACAGCGGCAAGGATGAGGAGGTGGGTGAGGAGGAGGACTTGCCACCAGGCCAGGACAAAGTGAGCTTAATGAGGCTCAACGCAGCAACATGCCGCAAAAATGACGGCAGGCTGATGTGGGCGTAGACGTGTCCTTTTAAAAACACAATGCTGTTGCATACAAAATCTTTGGCACACCGAAAGAAAATTACAATACAAACGTAGTTTTTATATGTTTAAAAATTTAAATAATATAAATTATAAGAGAGGCTCCATCCAATCCTCTTAGGAGAAGCTTTTCCTGGTGCCAGAAGCTGGTCTTATGACTCCTGCGAACCATCAGGATCAACGCAGCTTTCCTTTTTTTTTTTTTTTGAGATTAATTAATGAAGCCGAACGTGGAAAGCGGAACGTCCACTGTTCGTTCAAGCTGCTCTCTCCCAGCGTCAACTTTTCCTATGAAAAATGCCCATAAAATATGAGCGTGAAATATTTATAAAAAGAAAAAAACCCACATGTGTGTGGAAAATGTGTGGCAATGGTGAACTGTCATTGCAGTTTGTGGCCTCTTTAAAAAATATGGCCGCACTTTAAGCGACGCAAACGCATCGCCCATCGCAGAAGTCGGCATTATTAACAGTACAGGGCAACCAGCACCGGGCCAGTATCCTGGCTGCCATAGTGTCCTGTGCCAATGTCCGTGGCCTAGAGCCGGCAGCGTAGAAATTACATTAAATTTTACAAGCGACAAGGGGGAACTCGGGGCCAACCAGGGCAACAACAAACAACATTGCAGGCAGGCAGGCAGGCAGGAGGGTCCTGCAGGGAGGGTCCTTTTAGTGGGTGGGATCACCCAAACCGCAGCAGCGGCATATTGTTACTGCCCACAGTTCAGTTCGGTTCGCCGTTCGGCTGCCATCGTACAAATTTAAAATATTAACATAAATTTTTACAATGAGGCAACAATTTCTGCCTGCCAGCCAAAAAGGACGTGCAAGGAGCCACAGCCAGAGCCACGGCCAGGACCTGGGCGGACAGTGACAGCGTGGGCGTAGCAACCCCCAGTCCTTGGCGTTAAATATTTTGTAATAAGCACAATAAACCAAAAGGCGAAACAAGCTTGAAATTTATTCACAGCGCGGCCTAGCAAAAGGATACGACGGCTTCGTACATACATACGAATTATCAAGTATCCTTGCTGCCATCCCCATCATCATCATCATCCTTCTCACACCCTGCTCACCCGACAGACTGCCTGATAATGGTTCAATTATTTTTCCGCCCTATTTAACTGCAAGTAAAATGGGCAGCTCGAAATGTGAAACGCTCTCTGGACAAAAGCACCCCCAACACACACACACAATGGGCAGCCAACCTCAACGCTCCCGGATATGTTGGACAATTTTCCAACCGACCATAGAGACAAGGAGGAGACGTGCAACACACATTTGCTGCCACCTCGGGACCACCTTCCGTTGGACCCTTCCCTGTTGTGTTGGCTTTTGCCAACCGCAAAAATTTGTCACACGTCATATATGGCCACGCCCCAGTTTTGGGGGCAACACGCCCAAAGTCCACCATCCGGCCAAGCGGAACAAAAGCGCTTTATATATATAATATATTATATTATATTATATATATGTGTATTCCAGAGCATTGTCAGGTTGTTAAAGAGAAGAATATCGTCTGGGTTCGTTTTCACAGGGTCTGAGGTAAGGTCAGACGGAAGAAGTCTACAAATGACCTTAACCAGAAGTCTCTTTTGTAAAAGGAAAGAATGGTATACTTGAACCTCTTAAGTGGTTATAATTTTTTTTAATTAAATTTAAAACTTTGCTGGGTTAAGGAATATATTTTTAAGCTGAGAGAGGGTAGAGCGTATAATTAAGGAGCTTAGTTTAAATATATTTCCAATACTATGAGTTATTTTTGGATATTAGATAATAGATATCTCTGTAACAGGTTACAACCTTTCTTTAAGATCTTCTCTGACAGAATTTTTTTACCATTTTTTTTGCTTTACTTTTCCTGAAAATTATATAGTCCTGTCTTTTAGGACTATAAGTTGGTTTTGGATAAGTAAGAGTATAATAATTGTGATTATTATTTATATATATATCTGCAAAAGGTTACCTTCCTATAAAGTTCTTTCTGGCAGGATTGTTCAACCTATTCCTGAATTTACTTTTCCTGGAAATTGTATAGTCTTGTCTTTTCCTATTTTTCCTTTACCCCAAAAAATACAAAACCATAATATTGATTTGTTTTTAATATAAAATATTATAATATAATAATATAAGAAGAGGTATTTCTGGAACAGGTTATAACCTCCCTTTAAGATCTTCTCTGACAGGATTGTTTTACCTACTTCTGTTTTACTTTTCCTGAAAATTGTCTAGTCCTGTCTTGTCCCATTTTCCCCTTACCCCAACAAATACAAAATCAAAACCTTTGATTTCTTTTTAATATAAAATAAAATAATTCAATAATATAAGAAAAGATTTTTCTGACACAGATTAATACGTCCCTTTAAGATCTTCTCTGTCTGATTTGTTTAACTTTACTGCTTACTGCTTTACTTTTCCTAAAAATGCTATATTCCCATCTTGTCCAATTTTCCCCTTACCCCCACAAATACAAAACCATAACTTTGATTTGCTTTTAATATTTAAAAAAAGGAACAAATTTCCATGGCAAGTAAGCCCATTAGATGCTTCTTCTGCTCTTTAGTGGCGTTGAAATTTTAAATGATTTTGTAAAACGCCTAGGCACTTAACATTAATTAACGTTTAATATAGCTATACCGTGCCGTGTCGTGGCCTTTTCCAGGACCCGCAGGATACGGATACGCCTCCCCCCCCAGACTGACCCGCAGGTTGACTCCTGCTCCTGCTCTTTAATAACTCAGTTAAACAGCTTATGGGAGGTGAATTTTAGGGGGCCGCAAAACAGGAACTGCCCTTCAGTTTTACTTCCTGTTTCTGGTGTGCACTTTTTTTTCGTGTTGTATCCTTGCGGATACCGAAATTTAATTTCCCTTGTAGCAGTTTTATTGCTATTTATTATTATGATTATTATATATAGCACTATAGACATTTTATCGAGCCGGGAACTCGACTCGATTCTGTTCCTCTTCTTGTTATGATGGCCATAAATTTGTTTGCTCGCCCAGCTTTCGATGGCGATGGCGAGAAGGGTTCTTTGATAAGCAAACAAAAATATTTGCGAAAATTGTTTGGAGGGAGCGGTCCTGTAAAATTGATGCCCACTGCTGCTTCGCCTGATTAAGTTGGTCATTGTATGTTGTAAATGCTTGTAAATCTATAAAACTTTATGATTTATCTGAGACAGTCCTGGTAGGAATTCTCACAGTGTATTGTGAACCCTTGCCTTTGGCTGTTAAGCTGGCGCGAGATTGCAAATCTTTTTTTCTGGCCACAATTTGAACCCTTGGCCTAAAGTCTAAATTAAGCCCCAAAGCATGCGCACATATGAATATTCCAAAAATTGGGGGAGAAGCTGCCACTTTTTTTTTCGTTGGGATCTCACCGCTTGAGCCAGGTCATAATTTCATCTCTCCCTCTTTCTCTATATCCTTTCAGGCCTCACAAGGACGAAGCCGAGAGCTCGTGGTATAACCACAAGAGGTTGCAGACGGGTAAGTTTTTCTTCTTTTTTTTTGGGCCGCATCCAACGGGGAGCGGCTGTGGCTCGATAATGAAGTTGAATGTGTTGACAAGTTTATTTGCCTAATTTTTGCTCGGCACGCCATTTTTGAGTTTTCCGTCTGCGGTGGCGCCACCACCACCACAAAAAAAAAACAACAAAAAGAAAAGAGGCCGCCGGGAGCGGCCTCGGACCAAGTACCAAGTTTTCTCTTCTCCCCAGAGGCGACACGGGGCGCGCCCTTCACAATGATGAGTCGTTGATAAATACGAAAACGAGGTTATCCACACTGTTCCGTTAATGTTAAGGCAAGTTCAATGCGAGCAGGAGGTGGCAGGATCCTGTTCCTCCCCCCCCCCCTAGAGAAAAGCTTGGTCCTTGAACTCGCTGGGTTCAAGCCACACAGTGACTTTTAACATGGCAAAATAACTCAAGTGCACATTTCTGAAACTGTTTAAAATCCCAAATGTGTCTAAAGCAGACATTTTAGATTTCTATTCCATCGATAACATCGGTGGGTGGGTGGTTTCAAGGATAACCAGTGGTGACGGCCTTGACAGAACTTAATGAAATAGCATAAATATCCTTACGGGAATATTGAAAGCAAGAAATCAGAGTGTAGGTTCTGTGATACGCAAGGATACGGGTGAAAAGGGGTTGCGAGGAATCAATACCCAAAAACAGGGAAACCCTTTCCTTTGAGCCTGGCAAAAAAAAAAAAGAAAACTCTTTTTGGGCCCACGAAAAACCCAACCCAATCCAAGCTTTTCCAAGCGGCCAATTAGAGCGCCTTTGACGACGCCGCCCCAGGTCATTTTGCGTGCCATTTGCTTATTTTGCTTTATGCATTTCATTTCCCCAAAATTGCGGTCATAATTTTTGTAGCTCAGGGCCTGGCCCTTTTGTGTGCCAATGGAAGGAAGGCTTGTCAATCAAAAGGACTCGTTTCCAGATGCCGCCGGTTGTGAGTGACTCGCAGAATGAGCTTCATTTCTAGAGTATCCACAGGGCGACTTGTTGATTTATATATATTTTGTTCATTAACACTTCTACCATACCCACCATTGGGGTAATAAAATAATTATTCATTATGAACTGGCATAAGCACACGCTTACGCATTCGAGCCAAACTTGTGTAAATATTTAATTAAAGCAAATATGAGCAATGGCCAGTAAACATGTTTGTTAATCGATTTTAGGCTTAAAAAAAAACAGGTAAGGATGGTTTAGGCAGGACTCAAAAGGGAAGGCAACTAGTAGAGAAACTTATGCCAGTGGCACTCGTTTCAAACATTCCTGGGAGTCTGACAGAACTGTCAGGATCATCTCAACATCCTGGGAGTCCTAGCCCACATTTGGTAGCTGCATATATTAGCCAAGTTATGCTCTCATTCTTGTACAAACCGAATGGCTGGTCACCTTCTACCCACTACTCACTACGCTCAACGGAAACGGAAATAATTTGTCATTTTTACTTTACCCATTTTATGATTATTTATTTTTATTCCGAGCATTTTGCTGCTGGCTTCAGCTTAACAACGATATCGCGTCACAGGCAGAGGCAGAGGCTTCCCCAGAGGGGGGTTTAGACAGTTACAGCTATCGAGGGTTGGCTCACACATACATTAGCATTAGTTTTCGGCCACGTTAGTCGACTTCAGGAAGGACGAAGGATGACAGACCAGGACGATGGGTATTATGTAGGCAACTAGCCATTCAAGTGCCACAAATTGTTGCATACTCCCTCCCAAAGGATTTCTTTCTTGATTGTTTCTTAATTTTTAAGCATATTTATGGTACAGTGAATATTAACAAATGATGGGAAATTTTTAAAGCTAGGATATTCTGAATATATTTCATATTTTATTATGTATATTTCAAGCTGATGATGCTGCTGACAACTGACATTTGAAAGTGATGATATTCAATGGGCAATTGAGTTTTACTTTCACTGACATTCCGCTTAAAAGTTTAATTAAGCGTAAAGAAATGTATATATTTTACCATAGATATTTTTATATTCCAACCACTGTGCCATGAATATATCTTTGCTTCTGCTTTCAAAAAGGACATTTCTCCGGGCATATCGCTTACTGGCGCATACTTAGTGGGCAGCCTTGTTGTCCCTGTCACATTGCCTCCTTTTTTTAGACTGTTTTGACCACATTTCTGTCGTCGTTGCTGTCGTAGTCCTTGCTCCTGCTCCTGCTCCTGCTCCTGCTCCTGCTGCTCCTAGCTTGTGCGTGAAAACAACAACTTTGTGCGTGTTTGTTGTCCCTTTATTTATGGGCTCGCTCAGGTTTAGTTTCGCATCCAGTTACTGGTCCACCGCCACTTGCCAATTCTGTGGCTGACCACTGATACAGTGATTTTTCATGCGATGATTAATTAACTCAAGTCCCGGCCATCCTCATTTGGCCATTATTTAGGCCCGCCAACGCCCATAAATATTTAGGCCAATTCAGAGGTGAGCTGAGGCAAACTCAGGTGCGACTAGGTGGCCTCTGCGGCTGGCTGCCGGCGGCTTGTTTAATTTCCACTTGAGCACCTTCAGTGCCGCTGAAAAACGCAAAAGCAAATTGAAAATATGAAAAAGAGCGAGAGAAAAACGAAAGAAAAAAAGAACGTGAAAAGCTGAGAAAATACTTAACGGAGAGCAAAGCAAATTACTCTTAATGAGTTGGAAAATGCAAACAAAGCGCTGCATACAGCCGCAGCCCCGTTGACTCCTGGCCAAAGTGTGTTGAATAATAAATGAAGGCCTCCTTTTTGGCCAGGAAGAGCGGCCGGATATTACAATACAAAACGAGACGCTAGGAGAGAAGGAATCAAATTAATGCAAAAAGAAAAACTATGAGCTATAAGGGGAGTTCATGACCTCCCCCAGAACCCCCAGTGAAGCGACAACTTTGTGGCACATTGTTTGCATTATATTTGAATTTTATTAAAAGTCAAAGAAGTTGGATGCCAGGAATTGCTGGCAATTCAGCAAAAGAATCTCTCTGATCGGTGAGCAGGTGAAATTCAATTGAATTGGCTGTGGAAAGCACTGGCCAGTGCATGTGTCCCACAGGTGAAAAGGACAACAATGCAGCAGCAGGCATTTGATGAAATCATAGTCAAACCAGGACAAGGACAGGGACTAGAAATGGGAGAAGGAATGGGACTAGGACTTCGACTTCAAATTCAACTTCAACTCGCATCCTTTTGTTGCCTTGACAAATGCTGTTGTGACCTCTAAGGGAATGTACATAATAAATGCCTTCATTTCCGCTTTGGCCTGGAAATCCTTGTAGCTACTTTCTAGATTAACTAATATCCGTTTAAATATGTTTTCATAAAACTTTATGCTTATACTATTTATTTATATATATATATAGAGCTTAAAAAACATGTATACTTTTATATGTATATAAAAATAAACAGTATACATATTTTTAAGTCCAAAAGAGTGATTAATTTTGTCCCAACAAAATCTTCTTTGACCCCTTGGTATAAAACCTTTTAAGTATGCTTTCTGTATCCTACTTCAAGGTCGTCTCAAAAGGATACAAAGACTTAAGGGTGTGGGGGAAAAGTGAAATTCAAGTAATTTATATGTCCTGCCACGCCTGCCCGGCAGATGGAGAAGCAAGGTCAGATTTTCCGCTCTCTGTTTCATGTAAATCAAAGACACTTTCTGGTCAGTTTATCAGTCATCCAGAAATCTGATTGGGACAGGCTATGCGTCTGGCTTTTATGTCAATAAAGAGGCCTTGTAATTATGCATAATTAATATTTAAAGCTTAAATTAAGGCCTTCAAAGTCAGTTAAGTGTATAGGAAACTTAAGATTCCACCAAGTTAGGCGATTCAAAAGCTACTTATGAGGCATTTTTGATAAGTGTGAATAACTTTCACGTATTATATCCTTGGTTTTGGGGTCTTTGTGATTCCAACAGTGATTCTGTTGACTTTATTTGTGCCCTCTTCTGTGGGATTACCTAGCTCATACTGTTGCTTGAATTCTTTGCTCCAAAACAGACCCAGACCCAGACATTGCCTCGAGTCCTTGTTCTTCATCCTCATCCTTAGCACACATTCCCCTATCCCTTTTTTTTTGCCATGGAATCGCTGTCGCGCACATCCCAAAAATCGTGAAGTGCTATCCGCCGTTGACGCTGTTTATAAACATTTTTATTTGCACATTTGTTTTATGGGGAATTTGCTTTGCTCGCCGGATGATGCACTTGTTTCTGGCTGCCTTTCGTCCTTCCCCTGCTGCAGTTTTTGGTACAGAGTTTTTCCTTGTTCGCTTGTTGATGTTACCAGTTGCCCAAAAAAACAAAGAGATGGATGGTGTTAGAGAGTCTAAAGACTATGAGTTACTTAATCATATGATTGATGAAGTATTTTGCTATTAAAAATACAGATGGAGTAGATAAAAGAGTACAATCTGATGTATATTTTATGACCCCTTTTAGGATACAATTCCTGTTTAAATTACTAAAAAGTCTATATGCCTCACAAGTACTGGGTATGTTTTTTGGGTACCAGCGAATGGCAGAGGGCGTGGCCGATGATTGTCAGAGTGCTTTATTCGATTTTGAACCGATGCCCAGAGCTATATATATATATATACTACATATACACAGCGGTCTCTCTCCATGTTTTGCTTTAATTTGGAATGGCGTGGTAAATCGTTCATCATAAAGTCAAGAGTTTTTCAGTCTGGATTATGGCATGGCATGGCACTCCATACTCCAATAGTTTGTTGTGTACTGCGGCGTGGCATTTAAGTGCATTTAGTTCCGAGTTGTTCTTGTTGTCATCGTTATACCCATAAAAAAACAAAACGCAAAAATTCCTTAACGAAATGACAGGACAGCTGCATACTTTGACGCAATTTCAGGGGTTGCCGAGGAGAGAGAGAGTGTATCTTCGGGGGCACCTTGGGGAACCCTTAACCTCTTTTACTTGTTGCTCCTTTTGTCCTTTTGTGGAACTCTGGGGA